AGTGCTTTAAATCCTCCCATAGATAACGAATACGGAAAGAATTTTGACTTTGCCTTGATGTAAATGATCACTCAATATCGAAAGGCCTCAAAATCCACGATCGAAAGGCCTCATAAAGTTATCTTTGCCAGGCCTTTCGATCCTAGGCAGAGTACTCAGTATTCTTAGTAATAGCCTATAGTTTTACTAGTGATTCTTAGATGTCCAATTTGATTCATTATTTTTCACAGGTAAAAGAAGGCAAGCTTAATCGTGCTCCGCAAACACTGGTGCTCATGGAGGGAATCTGGCCACCGGAATTGGTACCACTGTTCCTGAAAGATGGTGCTTTCCCGCAGTATGCTGATGACGATAAACCAAGCAGCATTCGGAGTAGCAGTAACTCACTTGTACCACCTTCGTATGCTCCGTCCCTCAGTGAGGTAATTTTCCTCCTACGCTGTTTCCAAGTCAACGGCAGAAAACAGGACGTGGCATTGCGTTAATAAAGACTACGTTGAAAATTTCCCGAAATGGTTTTCATGGATTCGGTTCTGAAATTCCCTCTCAAAATCTGACCAAAGCCAAGAAAATATTATGGTGAAAATAGCCTTCGGCTTCAGTCTACCGCCGACTTCCGGTCTCAGTGTGCCAATTCCTGCAACGACCGCCACAGTTTCCTGGGAGGGAAGACCCCTCTACCACAGGAATTGCTCGGATCCTTGATGCCTCCAATACCGAGCAAACTATACCAGTCGTCCCAGGAAAATTTAAAACTCAGTCCCTGCACATGCACCTGATTCGTTTGCCTAGTGGAGTACTAGGATCGGTAGCATAATGGACAACACGTCACGATTCAAAGAATCCGGGGATAGAAAAAATGAAAAGTTCGATTCCCTCTCAGTCTATATCGTTAATGTAAGAAGAGGCCTATTCACGATTTGCAGTAGCTTTTTTCGCAAATACCATTCATGGATACGAGAAATACGTAACATATGTACAACAAAAATAAGTTAATGTATTTTTTAGTGAAGGAGGATTCACACTGCAATTTTTCTGCAGCGTAGCCTTCTACTACAGCAAGTTAAAATTTGATAGTTATAGCCATTTTCAAGATTTTAATTATCTAACTGGATGCTTTTTGAGGCAAAAAATGAAGATGATCAGAGAAGAGCTGGCGAAACGGAAAAAGCCCAGGATACCGAGCTTACTTTGAGTATGTGAAAAAACGTTGTCACAGTTCCAAACATATTTTTCTTCGATAATAAATAATACTTATGCAAAGTGATAGCTGCCCGAGAGACATAATAATATCTGATAAAACAGAAGCAGAAAGAGCAGTAACGATGCCTAACATACACCCGCTACGGAAATCAAGGATTTCTGACGGTCTTATTTTTTTTGGTTTACAGGTACTGAACTTTTCTGGAGTCCGCCAAACAAAATTAGAAATTTGACCCTTCCTTCGTACCCTTCTCCTTCTTTTTCTGACATCGGCCCCTTCTTTAAATGATCCTGAAATTCCGAATTCCTCCACATATGTACGGAATTCCAGTCAGTTTCTACGGTAGATTTCGAAATTACCATAATTCAAGTTTCTTTCTCCGGCAGTGAGAGAAAAAGAATCCAAGCGCAAAAATCCTTGATGTCACAAGGCGAATGGAACATCCGTACGGGAATAACAAATCTCAAAGGCCAAAAAAATTTCATGGATAAAAAAACTGGTCCATAAGAAAGGCATTTAGTAACGTGATGATATTCTCGAAGCAAGAATCACAGATTTCGGAAAGCACAACTTATTTAAAAATATATATTGGTAGTGAAAGCAAATGAATGGCCAACAAGGAAAACGCCGTGTACAGAGGGATGGTTTTGCGCCATATCCCTGTTTGAACAGTACATCCATCACACATACATAGGCAAACACTAGCGTGGCCAAAATTTTCAGGAAACAGACTGGTTCTAATGCTAAAAAAGAACTTCATTTGTTTTTATTCAGGATTAGCGCGATAAAAAATATTTATTAGCAAAGCAAAATATAAATAATAAATAAAATCCCTGTACTAATATCGTTTGGACTATCAGCAAAATTTCCCGTATTACAGATATTACTGCTCAGTTATGCCATGTCC